CTATAAAGGATTCAAGGGCAAAAATCGATCTTAGGTGCAAGTTTTCGGAAGCCCCTTTTCTTTAAAACTACACTCTATTTATTGCTTGATCGGAAAATTAGGATTACGAAATCACATGCTGGCGGAAAGGCGTCAGGTGTAGCCAATATTTGCATAAACAGTTTAGCGCGAGGCATTTTCTATTGTTCACTAGGGATCGTAATCTGGTTAGGCGGTGTTCTAAAAAAAAAGAAGAAAAAATGCAAGATCGAGATCATTATAACCAACCATCAAAGCTTGTTCTTGATCTCTAGATGAGATGCTGAAAGGACCAGCCTGTTGTTGCTGTTCGCTAAGGTAGGCATTCATCAAACGTTCTTGCGCGTTCAGTTGTGACTCCACATTTCCGGATGAGACTAAAAGTAGTCATTCTTTGTTGTGTCCGCGATGATGACAACAACAGTTTCGCACTAGGTATCTATAGTAACCTTGCCGATTACAGTGCGCCTTGTGAATAACATGCATTTCATATGCAATAAATTGGTTCACATTTTCACAAGCAATCCCTAGCAAATTGATTCTACAAGAAAGAATAAATCCTTGTCACTGATACCTTGCGCCGGAGGTTGAAAAGCATGAGCCTGAGGAACTTGTACAGCTTGCGCTTGAGGGATCTGTTGTTGTGCTAGTTGTTGCAATAGTGTTTGCTGTTGCTGCTGCTGTTGTAAGAGCTGTTGATAATACAATGCTATCGCTGGATTGAGAAGCGGATTAATGGCACCGAGATTCTGTCCACTCTAAAAGTGGATGATAGTCAGAAACGATGATGATGAGAGAGTAGAGCAATAAACAAACCTGAAATTGAGGCAAAAGCTGACCGAAAGCTAGTTGATTTTGTAACACCGACAAAAGTTGCATTCCTTGTGGCTCTACTGTAGACGATGACGCACCGCTAGCCATTTGGTTAACGGCAAGGGGGTTTGATCCACCTAATAAAGCTGTGGCCAGCAGATGGCTCACCTTAAAGAAAAAAAACTAATGGAGAGGAGAGCAGCTTCTAGTAAGATAAGCAACTCAGTGTGGCAGCCTAGCGTCGCTCAGCTATATACGTAAACAACAATTTTAGCGCTTCACCCAACTGTGAGCGAACGAATTTCATTTTTCAAAAAAGTTTCTTAAAGGACAGGCGGAATCTTCCAATAAACGAACCAGCTGCGAAGAAGGATTCTGGGTGTTGACTTGAGCAGCGGCTTGTTGTTGCTGAAGTTGCTGTTGAAGTAAAGCGTCCTGAAATTATGATTGTTTACACTGCTGTTTTGAAGTCTTGCGAAATACATCGTATTTGTATGTATAGTTCAATGGCTCTATGTTTGCGTATTATCGAGGCCTGCCGAAGACGAGACTCGCGCCGAAGCTGAGATGAAGATGTAATGTCGCTGCGAGAGTGGCTCAAAGTTCAAGCGGTGCTCTGTCGCTGACGATGCTCGAACATCGGGCGAGTCGACAGCAGTCATGCGCTACTCGTCAACTAATCTTCGTCCGCCGATTTCTCTCCCTCTTCCCTCACTCTACCTTCGCTATTCTTCTGCTTTATCGCATAGGATGGCACCTGGGACGTTTGTGAGTAGTGATGTCCAAGCGCGGCAGTATCAGC